TGAAGGGAAAAAGAGAAAGGGGGGGGGGGGGGGGGGAGGGGGGGGAGGGGGGAAGAATCGCATTGATCTAAAAATGTGACCAAAATTGTAACGCTAGACCCCTCCCAGGAAAGTCAGAAAATTGTCATAAGAGAATCATGACAATTAAAGCAAAGCTATTTCCTAATTCATCTTCCAAAAGGATGTGTACATCTTTCCAGAAAGGCAACAGTTCCTCTGTTTTTGTTTTCATACAGGGAATTTTAAATAGGAATTTACCTGTTGACTTAGACAAAGTCCTGTTTTTTAACGACATGGCATCAATGTATGTGATATATCATCAATCCTGACATGACTGCCAGGGTCGGTCACATCCCTTCATGAGAAATACGGGGGCCTTGCATTCGGTAGGTTAAACGGAGCCGCACTTTAAAAATCGCGTTTTTAAGAGATAAAAGCCGAAGTGACTATGCATTTCTCGCCAGGGTTGACACAGTCCCCAGGCACGGCAATTGCCACAGAGCCGCTGGGATTGTGCGAGAGACCCTGCTGCCCGCTCCCTCCCCTCCCGTCCGCGGTCTCCTCACTCTGCCGTCCTCCCGCCCGGGGGCTGGACCCGCTCCGCCCTCACAGGGAACCGGGTAAGTCAAGCAGCGCTCAGAGTTTGCAGTCAGCTTTCTCCTCTGCGGGGCTTAGAGAACATGAATTCACATGCTAAGCAGAGCTACAAGCAGAGCTTCCCTTCTTATGAAAGAGCCAGCCCTATGCGTGCTTGGTGGACAGAAACTACACAGTTCCATCCGATTAAAAAATGCACCGGCATGGCATGGAGTGGATGGGCGCATCTGGTCTCCGGCCTACAAGGTCAGACGCTAAGGTTATCGTCCCCATTATTCAAGCAGGCGAGGGCAGGCTAGAAAGCAAAGTTATTTTTTTTTTGAATAAGAGGCCGTCTAAGGAATAGCAGAGAATTCCAAAGAGCAGTTTTACAAAATAGGGGTGAGCCTTCTCACCGTGACCCCGGGGCCAGGCCTCCTCTCGCTGCGCCCAGCGTCCGCTCCCTACCGGTCAGCACGCCCTCCCGCTGGGTGCATCGCGGGCTGTGGAGACATCAGGAGAAGCGGGTGACCG